GATTGTGGGGCTGGCGCAGGATCGGGCAGTGTTTCGTTCTGCTGTGCATGGGGTCGCTATGAGTTGGAAACGACTCGATGGCACTTAACAACAACAACAACAGCAATCCTTTTGAAATGTTTTACCTTTGAGAATGAAGCAGAATTTAAATCAATTAAGTTACATGTTCTCTGCATATTCATAGCACGTGTGTAGTGCTTTCAAATGAAATAGAACAAGTCTAGACATACAGGTAAAATGACATACTAAGTTATATTTAAATTATTCAACTAAATTAATATTAATTAATTAAATTAATATTAATCAATATGTATATTGATTAATTTCTATTAAAAAATCCTACTGTTGATTTAAAAAAATAATAAAAAAACAATAAATGCAGCTGTTCCTCTCACTGGTATAATCCAGACTTCCTGACCACTTAGCTTTGATTTATGAGATAGTAATTCAGTTCTACAGTCTACTTTTCCTGTGTGAAGTATGGACACAGGGCAAATGTGAAGGGAGGATTAGAATGTTAACTAGTAAATGAAGACATAAATCAGCTAAAGCCAGATGTGTAGCAGCACCTGAAAGGGAAAGTGACATCACCAATATGGCAGGGTGTGGAGAGTGCCCCAAAGTGGCAGTGCTAGTGCAGAGCCAAAAATGAGTCATAACTGAGACATGAATGATCTGCATTTATTCTTGATATAGATGCTTTTAAACTCCTTGATATCTTTACCATGGGGAAGAGGAAAATTCCGTTGTTTTATAAACTCCTAAGTGACTTTTCTCAAGCACCCATGTTTAGATAGAAAGTAAAAAGGTCTTATTTATTGAATTAAGTATTACTGTTTCCATAATGTTTAACAATATAAGAAATGTCTATTTTAGTTTTTTAAAAAGTGTGTTTGTTTACCTGTACAACATATGCTTTTCTGTTTTTAAAAATGTTACTTATTTTTTAGAATTAGCAATACATATTTAAAATGGAATGATTATTTTATGTCAAATATTAACATACCTGGTTCTGAGAAACTGTGCTTAATCTGTGGCCTTGTTTCTAAAAAGTACAAAACAGAGTTAGAAAAAAATAGGGTGTGTCTGATATGGAACAACAAAAAACTTGGAACTATATTTTTTGGGGTAGTGGTTGTGATGGTGCTTTTTCTTAACCGTGCTTTTTGAATTACTGGTCAAATTTCAACAGTTAGCTAGTGAAGTTATGAGATAATATGTCAGTCTTATCCTTAGTAATTCCAGTATCAACTTTCAAATACTTAGTAAATATTCATTGATCATAACTGCTAAACAATCTCCTTAACTAAGGGGAAGGGAATGATAAAATATCAGAAGACTCACTTATGGATTTCTACTAGAAGCAGTAAATATTTGAAAAAAATACTAAAAAGTATTTTCTATAAATATATTTTATAAAAAATATAAAAATATTGAGAAAAACAGTAGTCATGTTGTCAATTTTTCAGATTTATGCCACTCACTATCTGAATCTAAATCTTTATTGTGTTTCAGCTGAGCTTTTGTCAACAGTCCCATTGGACTTCCTGTGTGCAGAAGTTTCCAGTATAATCTTCATGCTCCACCAGAGTTAACCTCCCCCTTATCAGTTCACTTACATTTCTTTTTCTGCTATCTCAGCATGTCATTTTATATCATGAAGTCCTCTTCCTACAAAATTCACACGTTTTCTTGAATTTAATTATTATTAATAATGTATCTGGTTCTGTGATATTGCAATGAAGGACTCTATTATATTTTGTCATTCTTTATGAGCTATGGTTAGAGGTTAGTTGGAAGTTGTCTTCTCTTTCTCTGTGGCCATAGATAGATGTGGGCTTTGGAGTAACACAGATAATGGGTTTCAGTCATGAATATGACTTTTATTAGTTGTGTGGCTTTGGACAAGTTTTTTAACTTCTCTCTGTGTTAGTATCTTCTTGGTAAATGAAGATTATAATACTTAGCTCTTTGGGGTCCTGTGAGGATAAAATTAAATAATGCATGAAAACATTTAGGGCTGTCCATGTACCATGCTAGTCATTGTTTATATTGTACATGGTATGTAGCACTGTGTGCCTTCACAATTGGTAACCAGTTGCTATTGCATCTATTCCAGTTCATGGCAATCCCATATGTATCAGAGTAAAAGTATACTCCATAAGATTTTCAGTGGTTGATTTTTCAGAAGTAGATAGCCAGGCCTTTCCTCTGAGATGTCTCTGGACTCACACTGCCAATATTTTAGTTAGCAGCCAAGTGTGTGACTATGTGCACCTCCTAGGGACACATGAGTCCATAGCCATCCTTAATATATCTTCTGATTTGACACCATCATGCTGACTTCACATTGAATTAACTTGGAGAATTAGATTGTCTAGCACGATAGCCAGTTCTGGTGGTGTAGTGCCTAAGGCATTTGACTGCTAACCAGAAGGCTGGTGGTTCAAACCCACCAGCTACTACTCCTCAGAAGGTAGACTGGGCAATCTGTTTGGGAGCTCTGGTAGCATAGTGGCTAAGGCACTTGACTGCTAACCAGAAAGCTGGCGGTTCAAACCCACCAGCCACTCCTCGGAAGGAAGGTTGGGCAATACTACTTCTGTAGTGCTACTGCCTCGGAAACCCACAGAGGGGTCGCTATGAGTCAGGGCTGACTTGACGGCACATAACAACAACAACAACAAGTCTGATCTAGAAACCTCATAATTAGTTCTAAGCACTTGGTCTATTTTTCCTCCTTTGATTTCTGTCCTGCTTAAAATCTATTTCTGCTGTTTAGCCCTAAATAGAATAAATCTGTTTCTTCTATTTCATGCTAAATAGAATAAATTCTATCAATGTTTCTATTAGTTTGTGGCCCATAGCTCCTTCAAGTCTTCTCTTAGAATTTATTTTAAACTTGCAGTATCCTCCCTAAGCCCGGACTCCAAAAGATTCTGTCCCTTTCTACTTTTCAACCAACTCCTTTAAAGTCATCTCCCTAGAAAAATAAATAGAGTGATAGTGACTCTCTCTGACTCCATCTTATCTCAGCACTCAGCTTATCTTATGATTATCACTTATTAAGTGATAACTTAATAATTTACTGAGTTAAGCAGTTTTACATATACCTTCTTATTTCATCCTGAGAGAAACACTGGGAGGTAAGAATTCCTGGCCTCATTTACAATTAAGGGAGCAGGAAAGTGGCGGGAAATTTCACTCGGGGTCAGTAGTTGGCAAAGCCCAGCCTGGGTCTGAACCCAGCTCAGTCTAACCATAATCATCCTCATCATCGTACTATGGGATCCCTATAAGCTTGCTACCCACTCTACAGTCATAGTCATCATTCAAGGGCTTTGCTAGATGGTTTATAATTTCTCTATCGGGTGAGAATTTATCCAGAGTATGCACTGTATCTACTCACTCAGCTTTTATTTCCTAGTGTTTGTTACAGTTTTCCCACAGTGAGAGATCTTTTAAAGACAGTTGTATCATAGCAATGACTTCAGAAAAGCTATTTTAAAGTATAGAACAAACCTTTTCCCCCTTCTGAGAGTAATTTGGTGGCAGCAGTAGTAGCTGTAACATTAGCATTTGTAATACCAGGAGATACATCTGGGGTTATGTTCTGCATGGAAATATAACCTATATGGAAAAAAAAAGTTGAGAATTGGATCAAGAAAGAAGTGACTGAGTGGGCCATAAAGCACATCACAAAAGACAAATTTATTCCACCTTCCTCCCAGTAAGAGCTCTAAAATTTCTATGAAGGAGTCTACAGGTGAGGAAAGTCTGCCTTAGTTTCCTCATCTGCAAAATACACACACACACACACACATACACACAAGTATGTAACTAAATACCTCTTATTATTTGACATTCAGGTGTATTATTTTAAGATGGCTTAAAAATAAGTATTTTTAAACAATAGCCTGATGACAAGGATTTTGAGGTTCAGCAAATATTGCTGTTATTGTTAGGTGCTGTCAAATTGTCTCCAATCCATGGCAATACTGTATACAACAGAACAACGCACTCACCAGCCGTGCACTGTCCTCACAGTCCTTGCTACACTTGAGCCCATCATTGCAGCCTCTGTGTCAATCCATCTCATTGAGTGTTTTCCTCTTTCTCACTGACCCTCTACCAAGCATGATATCCTTCTCCAGAGACTGGTCCCTTCTGATAACATGACCAATGTACGAGAGACAAAGTCTGACCATTATAGTTTCCAAGGAGCTTTCTGGCTATACTTCTTCCAAGACAGATTTGTCCTCCCTTCTGGCAGTCCATGGTATTTTCAATATTCTTCACCAACATCGCTATTGAAGTGCATCAATTGTTCAGTCTTCCTCATTCATTGTCCAGCTCTCACATGCACATCAGACAATTATCACAAGAATTTGTTTATCCCCAAATTGAATAGATAAGATTCATGTTCCAAAACTATCTGCAATGTTATATCCTTTATTAGAAATAATATATTATATTCACTTGTTCCTTGGTTCAGCCTACTAGCTGATTCCCTTGTTGTTGTTGTTAGGTTCTGTCAAGTTGGCTCCAACTCACAGCAACCCTATGTACAACAGGACAGAATACTAGCCAGTCCTGTGCCAGCCTCACAATACTTGCTCTACCTGAGCCCATCGTTGCAGCCACTGTGTCAGTCCATCTTGTTGAGGGCCTTCCACTTTTTTGTTGACCCTCCATTTTACCAAGCATGATATAACTTCTCCAGGGAATGGTCCTTTCTGACAACATGACCAAAGCAGGTAAAACGAAGTCTGGCCATTCTAGCCTTCAAGGAGCATTCTGGCTGCACTTCATCCAGGACAGATTTGTTCATTCTTTTGGTAGTCCATGGTACTTTAGCTTTCTTCGCTAGTACCACAACTCAAAAGCATCAACTCTTCTTCTGTCTTCCTTTTTCATTGTCCAGTTCTCACATGCATATGAGGTGATTGAAAATACCATGGCATGGGTTAGGCACATCTTAGTCTTCAAAGAGATGTATTTGCTGTTCAGCACTTTAAAGAGGTCTTTTGTAGCATATTTGGCCAATGCAATATGTCATCTGATGTCTTGACTGTTACTTCCATTGGTGTTGATTGTGGAACCAAGTAATATGAAATCTCTGATAACTTCAATTTTTTCTCCATTTATCATGATGCTGCTTATTGGCTCAGTTGTAAGGATTTTCATTTTCTTTATTTTGAGATATAATCCACACTGCAGACTTAGTCTTTAATCTTCATCAGTAAGTGCTTTAAGTCCCCCTAGCTTTTAGCAAGTAATGTCATCTGCATATCACAGGTTGTTAAGGAGTCTTCCTCTAATCCTGATGCCACACTCTTCATTATACAGTCCAGCATCTCAGATTATTTGCTCAGTTTACAGATGGAACCAGTATGGTGAAAGGATACAACTCTGACACACTCCTTTCCTGATTTTAAACTATGAAGTATTCCCTTGTTCTGTTCAAATGACAGCCTCCTAGTCTGTGTACAGGTTCCTTATGAGCACAATTAAGTGTTCTGGAATTCCCATTCTTCTCAATGTTATCCACACTTTGTTGTGACCCACACAATTGAATACTTTTGCATAGTTAATGAAATACAAGTAAACATCTTTTTGATATTCTTTGCATTGAGCCAAGATCCATCTGACATCGGCAATGGTATCTCTCATTCCACATCCCCTTCTGAATCCAGCTTGCATTTCTGGAAGTTCTCTGTCAATATGCTGCTACAATCATTTTTTAAATTATCTTCAGTAAGATTTTACTTGCATATGATTTTAATGATATTGTTTGATGATTTCCACATTCTGTGGGATCACCTGTCTTTAGAATGGGCACAAATATAGAGCTCTTCCCACAGATTGGCCAGGTAAAAAATCCAAACTCACAGCCGTGGAGTCAGATCCGACTCATAGCGACCCCTCCTTGGGTTTCCAGGGCAGCATCACTACAGAAGTAGATTGCTCAATCTTCCTTCCGAGGAGTGGTTGGTGGGTTTGAACCACTGACCTTCTGGTTAGCAGTTACATGCCTTAGGTATTACACCACCAGAGCTCCCAATTGGCCAGGTAGCCATCTTCCAAATATCTTAGCATAGAAGAGTGAGTGTCTCTAGCATGATATCTGTTTGTTGAAACATCTCAATGGGTATTCCATCAATTCCTGGAACCTTGTTCTTCACCATTTCCTTCAGCACAGCTTCAACTTCTTCCTTCAATACCATTGGTTCTCAAATATATGCAGCCTCCTGAATGGATGAACATTGACCAATTCTTTTTGGTACAGAGACTCTGTGTATTCCTTCCATCTTCCTTTTACGTTTCCTTTATCATTCAATATTTTGCCCATTCAGTCATTCAGTGTTGCAACTCAAGGCTTCATTTTTTTCCTTCAGTTCTTTCAGTTTAAGAAATGGTGAGTGTGTTCTTTCCTTTGCATGTCTTTGCACATTTCATTATAATAATTGATTTTGTCTTCTGGGCCTGCTCTTTGAAATCTTGTGTTCAGCTCTTTTATCTTGTCATTTCTTCCATTTGCTTTAGCTACTCTCCATTCAAAGGCACGTTTCAGAGTCTCTTCTGACATCCATTTTGGTCTTTTCTTCCTTTCCTGTCTTTTTAGTGACCTTTTGCTTTCCTTATGGATGATGTTCTTGATATCATCCCAATGTTCCTCTGGTTTTTGGTCATTGGTGTTGAATGCATCAATTCTATTCTTTGATTCCCTTACATGTATGCAAACAACCATCACACAAATAGGTACTGCACTAATACTCTCTCTCTCTCTCTATATATATATATATACATCAGTTAGTACTGTACTGGGCACATAGTGAGTATTGCATTCATGTTGGCTATTATTTTTATCATTCTTACAATGGGGGTACTTGAAACTGTATTTGCTTGACATTTTACATAATTTTGGGAAATTGTCGATGTTAAGGTAAGGTGGAAATTGATAAGGATTATACAGGACCAAAGTTCTACCCCATGCCTCCTGTCTCTATGTCCTAGGTACAATCCTATTTCACCCCCAAAATTAAAAAAATAATACTATTAAATTCAATTTTTTTCCAGATTAAAAGAGGGTGCATCAATTTTAAGTTTCTCCATTTACAATTCCTTTCTGTCCTTGAATAGTAGAACTTCTGAGTTAAAATAGAAATGTGAGAAATGCAGTCTCCAGTCTAAGATTATTGGCTAAAATGACTAAGCAAAATAACTAATTTCAGATCATGGTTATTCTTTAATATAAAAATATATACACAAAAACATGAATATAGACATGTATTCCGGTATATCCTTCTTAGATCTAATGTGTATATATATATATATATATATATATATACATATATATATGTGTACATTGTGCTTAAAACCTGGATTTCCTATTTAATATATCATGTTGGATATTCTTCAGTGACAAGATTTTTAATGGTCTTATAGTTTTCCATTTTATGAATATACCATAGTTTATTTATCAATCTCTTACTTTGAACACTTATGTTATTTTCACTGTTCTGAAAGTTATAAATGATTCTGAGATACATAGCTATGTACTAAATTCTGTGAATGTATCTCTTATCATTCCCTCTGAGACATTCTCATGAAGGAAATGTGCTCTAGTATGATGAAGTGGGTAGGAAAGGATGCTTGCTGACATTACCCAGAGGTCGCTGTCACATTTGCTCCTCAGCTAAATGCTCAAGGCTTCCTGGAGGATCCATAAACAATTGCAAATGTCTTCTTCAACACCTCTGGTCCTTCTACTCAAGGACAGAATACCACGACCTGCCACTTTTTGCTGTCTGCCAGTGACTTGTTTATGTCCAAATTGTACAGAAAGATTAATGTTCCAAAATTGTCTGCAATGTTATATCTTTTCTTATAAATCACATATTCATCCTTTTCCTTCACTCAGCATACCAACTGATTCTGTCACACGTATGCAAACAATTAAATACATTACACTAATTAACTAAATACACAAAGTAACTAATGACTTTCTCTCAATTCTGTTCTGACATTTAGCTATAATAGTTTTAAGATAACAGAGGAACAAATATTTTCAAACAATAACTTTATGATATTTGAGATTCAGTAAATATCAAGAATAGAATATTATAAATAAATGTTTTCATTAAACCAATACAAGTATGTAAAACTTAATTTTTTTTTTAAAAAAAAGGATAACTAATGAATAACAATAACCTAATATCTTTTAGTCAATGTCAGAATGGAGTACTACCTTATTCCTACATATTGGAGTATGAACTATCCATTGTATTTTTAAAAAGTCACATGATCTGAGTAAAATATGTCTATCTATGTGTTATGAAAACAGCTAATAGCTAGCAAAAATAATTAAGAAGTGTCAAAGGACAGAAGCATGTTATAGCCATTTAACAAAAACTTGAGATTTGCCTAAGGTTCAGCTACACAGGAATATCACTGGAAAATGTAGCTCGAGTATTCCTTTCTTGGTCTCAGACATCACTTCCATTTCTCATTTTTATGCTCCACTTCTCTTTTACACCATTAAATTCAATGTAATTAATTTATGTTTAATGTACATATTTATAATTTTTGTGGATATCAAATGAGCTCTTCTGAAACACAGAATTTATTTCCAGGCCTCCAAGACCCCCAGGACTCATTCATATTCTATCTACACAGCACTAGAACAGTACTTATGTATAAGTGTTCAGTGAAATATTGATAGTTATAAATATTTGGAAAAGCTGTTACAAAGAATTAGATGAGTTTCTGGATTGCATCTAAGAGGAAAAATAATGATGAATTGAGCAAGCTAAGTGGAAAATGACAATGGAGTATACAGAATGATTGCAACAATGTTGAAACAGGTACATAAATAAAGGATCAGCAAAAAATATTTCTGGCATTTCAGCAATGAGCACATGCTGTTACAATTAGAAGAAAAGAATCTAAAAGTGAAAAAGAAATACACAGAACTTAAAGTTTCTAAGTGTTAAAAGAGTTAAAATGTTAAAAACTTAACTGAGACAATTTAAGAGGTGTGACTGTTACTACAAATATTTCCCTCTCCAGGTTTCTTAATTCTTCCAGCAGGACATTGGGAGTTACTTGAACTGGAATTTTACAGGGAACAATTAGGTAGGTGTGTTCAGTCCGTGTGATGGTACCACACTCTATTTGTGAAAACTACAAGATTCTGCACAATCCATCCCCAGCCTCCCTCTGCACCCTCATTGCTTCCCACTCTCCCTCTTCTTTATCAGGGCTCTAGCCATGCTAGTTGCCTCTTGAGTCCGTGAATGTACCATACTCTTTTCCACACCCAAACCTCTGTACTTGTTCTTCTCTGAATGACACATGACTTTGCATGACTATCTTCTTTTTATGTCTCAATTTAAATGTCACTTGCTTTGCAAGATCATTCTTGGTACTCTCAAATTAGTTTTCGACTCAAACCACCACAAAGTCTCCAGTGCTTAGCACAGTTTGATAAAGGCTTAATAAAATCTTATGTCTGACTGTTTGGAAGATATGTGTTCTATAGGGGGTCTTGAGTATTCATTCTTTTGTTCATTCAATTGCAAAAGCTTTTTAGTATGTCTAATACACGCTATGTACAAAATGATAAATAATTTTATTTTCTTTTTAAAAATTCCAGTTTAATAGACATAAATATTTAACCTATGTGTAATTAAGTATTTTAGGATGATGGTGAAAGTGGAGACAAAAAGGAGGCAGTAGTCATTTCTACTTAATGGAGGAAGAGATAGAAAGTCCTTATGGAGATGTTCCTTGAACTTATCTTGAAAGAAGTTTAAGTATTCACTGTAGACTATGTGGGCATTCAGATACTGAGTCAGCAGTGTCAGCAGCATCTTGGTATTTGAACATCACTGCAAGGAGGGGGAACTATTACTATCTATGTGGTTGCAGCATAAGGTGTGTACTAGGAGGGGAATAGAGAAATGTGAAAAGGCTCAAGAGGTGGTGAAGTACCATATGTTCTGTGTCATGTTATGGAATTTGGACTTTATCCTTAAGGCAATGGAAAATCAATAAACAATTTTCAAAACCAGATTTTCATTTTGTGAAACTCACTGTCATTAGTATGGAGGAGAGATGGGGAAAAAGAGAATGTCCATACTACATGTTCTTCATAAGAGGATCTCATCCAGGGCTCAAGAGTGGACGAGTCAAGTAGTCCTCTTGCAAAAAAGTCACTCCTCCTTCCAGAGGGTATTTATCCCTTCTCCAAATTGCCTCTGCTGAAGAAAGCTGTAGCCAAAGGGCTACAGAAAACTATAGAAAGTAGTAAAAGATTATGGTAACAACCCAGTAACAGGATCTAACGTCTCTTAAACCTGACACTTTAATGCTTTTAATTTCAAACGAAGTCAGAGAAGAGAGGTAAGGGTGAAAAAAAAATTTCCTTTATAAGGAAATTATAAGCTTATAAGAAATATATATACCAAATATATATGTGTGTGTGTGTATATATAGCAAATATAAGCAAGTTTACTCTTATTAAAAAAAAGTATAAACATGATAATATACTTAAGAAGAGAACTTATTAAGTCTTGAACTTTATCAAAACAAATCTAACCATCTAGAAAATAAGCAGATTTCTTTCTTTTCCAATAGCTATTCCTCACAGGAAAGGATTGTCTACTGGACATTTGTTCTGAAGGAGTAGAGGCTGAAGCCTAAAGAGATTAAAAAAGAAAAAAAGAAAGAAAAAAGTGCCCAAGTTCACAGGGCAGGACTCATGCTCCTGCTCTGACATTGGCCTTAACATCTACCCAAAGTTAGACCATAGTACCTCTCTTTCTATCCCAAGTGTACATGCTTCTAGGCAAAGTTCTAAACAATAATTGGAAGTTGAGCATATCTGACATTGAAGATAGCACATTACTTGGAGAAACTAAGTCCCTGAGTCAGTTTCCAAAATTGCATGTACTTTGTCTAAGACCATTTATGAATATCATTTTCTATGTAGAGCCTTCAAAAACTGAATGTTAACCCAACTGATTTGAGGATGAAGTTTGCCACTTACATTCTTACAAATATTTTCTGTAATTCTATAGATTTAGTGACTTTGATGCATTTTCTTATCACAGTCAACTGAAACCAAAATGGACATGTATAAATGCCATAAGAACAATTGGATAAAAAAATGTTTAAATGTCAATTCTTTCAGCAATCTAATAACAAGCTGATCTATAAAATGACTATTTTTCACAATTAGCTATTCTTCTATTTTCTGAAAAAAAATGAACTCATTCCATCTAAACCAGGGATTTCCTTGCTTAGAGGAAAGAAGAGAGCAGGGATTGCCATTGAAAGTCCACAGTTTATGAAATACAGTACTTCTGACAACTCAAATAAGCTTTAATATTTTCTAATATTTAACTAAATTTTAAAGAACATTATTTATAATTATTCCCATATAGATTCATATGGAGTAATTTAAATAATTTTACCAATAGCCTCACATTAAATAAACCAGCATCTGGTTGAAAAAAATGTCACTTACCTGGCAGGAGTAACAAAAGACATATCACTTTATACATCCTCAGGTGCTTATGTTATTTTCTAAAGTCAAGGTAAGGACACGAAAATCCCACAATACATTCCCTAAACAACCACCAAGGATGTCTAGGTGCTACACTCGACGGCTACAGCCTACATATCTATCTGGCTCCCCCAGGCTTCTATGACCCTAATCAGCCAATAGACATCTGTAGACATTGCTAAGCAAAGTTGCAAAATTTCTGTGAGTAAGTGCATTCTAAACAGCTTTTTTTTTTTTTCCCCCAGTCAAATCTTCAGTTAAGTAAACTGGATAGAAAGCATCCAAGCAAATTTAGAACCACTAAACAACAGATAGGAACTCTGGAAGAATAGTGCCTAAGGCACTTGATGCTAACCCAAAGGCTGGTGGTTCAAACCCACTAGCCACTCCTTGGAAGGAAGGTTGGGCTTCCTTAGTACACTGCCTCAGAAACCCAAGGAGAGGTGACGGCACATAACAACAATAACAAACAACAGATAGTTTGCCTCAACTCTTAGAGACTAGGTCATGAGTAGGGTTTCTCTTCTTTTGCACCTGATGTCCCTTTGTGCACAGGGTCCTGAGCTTTCTGTAGCTAAATCAGCTTTCAAAAAGTCTATTTGCATCATTCACAGATTAAAGGTCAATTTAAGTATTTTCTTGTTTAAATTCAGAATATACTTTTAGCCTAGAAGATCACTTACAGGATATCTAGTCCAACTTTTTTTATTTTACAGATAAGAAATTTGATATTTAGAAAATTCAATGATTGGCTCCGATGAACAGGACTGATAAGGAACAGACATCCCCGCCCCCACTGTCATTAAGAGTCAATTCCTACTTATAATCACCCTACAGGACAGAGTAGAACTGCCCCATAGGGTTTCAAAGGGTGTAAATCTTTATGCAAGCTGACTGCCATGTCTTTTTCCTGTGGAGCAGCTGGTAGGTTTGAACTGCTGACCTTTTGGTTAGCAGCCAAATGCCTTAGTTACTGCACCACCAGAGAAATAGAACTGTTACTTTATTCTCCTGACTCCTACTATTATTCTCTCCTCTGAGATCTCACCATAGTGTCGGATCTTGACAGCAAGATTTCCTAAGTGTTTTAGTAGATTAGTCAGAGAGAACTGGAGAGCATTTTACACCAAAAAGGGCAACTAAATTCCTTGAAATTCTTAACCTCCTAGGAGCTAGAATTTTAATAATAATCATGTAGATTTAAATTTGATAAATTTTTAACACCAACTTCTTATATTACTTAGATTATGTCTCAGCCTTTAGTGTCCCCTTGCTATAGGTTGTAAGAGATACTATCTTCTGTTCTAGTGATACAGACATATGAATCATATTAATCCTTCTAGCAGGAACATGGAGTCACTGGGTGATGCAAATTGTTGAAGTGTTTGACTATTAACTGAACAGTTGGAGATTTAAGTACAACTAGAGGTGCTTCAAAAGAACGTTTTGGAGATCTTTTTTTTGAAAAACTCATCATTGGAAACCCTATAGAACGAAACTCTATTCTGACACATATGGGTTTGACACACGTCTGAGTTGACTTGACACAAACGGTTTATTTTAGCATAAACACATCCAGACTAGACCTGAAAAACTTCACTTCTTTCCCTAAGTAAACTATATTCGGTTATTATAGAAGACATATCCAGTGTCTGATTACCAAGGTTCTGAAAAACTGCACTGAAGACCTTCTTACATGCCCACTTGCAATAAATCATAGACTAAACCTTGAAGGATAGGTAGAGTTTCAGGTGGAGCTGTTTTGGGGAGGGAATTAAGATAAAGGAGTAGCATGAGTTTATATGTACAGGGCAAGGAAAGTACCATGGGCATTCATGTAGAGGGTAGGGGCACAGATGACAGACAAAGTGGCAAGCCTTTTAGATTGTCGTAGGGTCTGACTTATAGCAACCCTATTATAACAGAACACAACACTGCCCAGTCCTGTGCCATCCTCATAATCTTTGTTATGGCTGAGCCCAGTTTTTGCAGTCACTGTATCATTTCATCTCAGTGAGGGCCTTTTTTACTGACTTTCCCCTTTACCAAGCATGATATCCTTCTCCAGGGATTGATCACTTCTGACAACATGACCAAAGCAGGTGAGATGAAGTCTGACCACTCTCACTTCTAAGGAACATTCTGGCTGTACTTCTTCCAGGACAAATGTGTTTGTTCTTCTATCGGTCTCTGGTATTTTCAGTATTCTTCATCAATGCCATAATCCAAAGACATCAACTCTTCTTGAGTCTTCTTTATTCATTGTCCAGCTTTCACATGCATAGGATGTGATTGAAAATAGCATGATTTTGGTTAGATGCACCTTAGTCTTCAAAGTGACACATTTGCTCTTTAACAGTTTAAAGAAGTCTTTTGAGTAGATTTGCCCAGCACAGTATGATGTTGTCTGATTTGTTGACTGCTGCTTCCATGGGTGCTGATTGTGGATCTAAGTAAAATGAAATCCTTGACAACTTCAGTCTTTTTTCCATTTCTCATGATACTACTTGTTGGTCTATTTGTGAGGATTTTTGTTTATGTAGAGGTGTAATCTGTACTGCGGACTGTAGTCTTTTAGGTTCATCGGTAAGTGCTTCAAGTCATCTTCACTTTCAGCAACTAAGGTTGTGTCATCTGCATATTGCAGGTTGGCAAGAGTTTAATGCTTAAGTGGCAAAATGAATATAAACTAAAGAGAGAAAGATAAACTTAATCAGATTAGCAAGGCCTCAACACCTGGTTAAATTTTTTTTTCTTAGTCCCCAGATACTGCAATAACATTTGCTATGGTACTTTACACAAAGTACATTTTTGTATGTGAACAGAATCATATAAATTTAGGTTTAGGAAAGTTAGATTGAATTGATATACCACCTAGTAAATTAAATATTCCAAACTTGTATGGTAATACCCTCTCACAGTTTATACTTACAGGTCATCTAAAGTTTTTGAGAACATTTTGCCTCTATCATCTTTTATCCTCAAGCTCTGCTCCTCAGTTGCTCAACAAAAGCTCTACCATCTTGTGTATATCTCTGTGTCAGAAGAGGGAGCATGAGAGGGCCACTGTTCTCCTTGTACCAAGGATGTGAGGAGACTTCTTGCCCCAGAATACATTAGGGATGGATAGAGCAGAGATTAACAAGAGACTCCAGTTTTCTACTTCTCTACTCTACATTATGTTCACTTAACTATAGCACTTACTCAAAAAGTTGACATTTCTAACATGAAATGTTATTAGAAAAAATAAATGCAAAATGAAATGTTGAACAAATACCTTGGTCTATGCCAAAGTTTCTAATAGCTGAGCTCCTGGCATACTGTGATAAAATTAGCTCTTGCAGTTGCTGAATTTGGTTTTGGTTCCCTCCTGACTTTCAGTAGATAGTAGAAGGCTTATCTTGAAAACTCTTAACAAGGATACACCCTTCATATGAAATGCCTTAAGTAGTTGCCACATTGGAGCATAAAGTTTGCTAAGTGTGATAGCTATGAAAACTGACCAGTCAATTTATTAGCAGAAGTTCTGCACAGGTAGTTTGTTCTAAATCTAGGACAATACCCATCAGCTGACTTTCAGCTCTATGCCTTCTTGTCACACCTTATTGTCTTATATGGAACAAAGTTATAAATGAGTATCTTGCTTTTGTCAGATGATGTTTAGAGAATGTTATTATAATGAAGTATTTTTCCCCTTGAAGTAATTTTTTAAAGGTAACTATTCAGTATTGCTTTTTATCCAAAGAATCGACAAGTTCAATCTGAGTCATGCTGTCATTTTGTAGTCACATACCTTCTACTGTCGTTCATATTGGATATTGGAAAGGTTTTATTCAGGTAAAGCCAATGGTCCAGTTTTTTCTCACCTACAGAGTGCCAATGGTTTGGTAGTTCCCATTTAGCTAAGGGGTCACATTTTTGCCTTCTCTGTCTTGGTGGAAAACAGTTTTTCATGGTGTCTTCCTTGAAGCTGCTGTAGCCTAAGAAAACAGTAGCCTCCTTTAAGAAACACGTACTTTATCACTCTACCCTTTCCAGTATCCAATGATCTTTGTTGTCCCAAACCATGACTAACACAGGAAGGATAGAGAGAAAAATCAGTCCATAATCTCAGTCATTGTGTATTTTTCAACCTAGACCAATAGAGAGGCATTGGTGGTTCATTGATAGAACTCTCACTTTCCATGTGGGAGATAAGAGGTTAATTTCAATCTCTAGTGCACCCACCACCTGTCTGCCAATGGAGGCTTGTGTGTTGCTCTGATGCTGAACAAGCTTCAGCAAAGCTTCTGGACTAAAATGGGATAGAAACTAAGGCTTGATAATCTACTTCAAAAATCAGCCAGTAAAACCCTACAGATCACAATGGTGCCATCACAACTGATCATGGGCATGGTGCTAGACGGGACAGCATTTTGTCCTACTGTGCATGGGGTCACCATGAGTCTGGTTATTGACAACAATAGATAGAAAGCAAAGGCAATTTCCACCCACTATTTAGTAGGATAAAAGGAACTCTCATGGCACAATGGGTAAGACATTTGGCTGCCAACCAGGAGCTTGGTAGTTCAAACCCACTAGCTGCTCCATGGGAGGAAGGTGAGGCAATCTACGTCTCTAAGATTTACAGCCTTGGAAACCAAATGGGGTCTCTATGAGTCTGAATTGCCTCAATAGCAGAGGACAAAGGGCAATTCACTAGGGTAAGGCAGATGTGTGAGAAGAGAGATTGGAGTTCTTGTCCTGGATTTGCCACCAAATTGTTGGGAGATCTGACCAAGTCATTGAATTTATCTGGGTCTCATTTGAATATGAAAAAGCCCAGACAGCAAGCAGCAGCCAGGGCAAATGATTGGAACAGGTAAGAAAGAGAACTCCCAGCAGGAAGCAGCAGCCAGGACAGACAGCTGGAACAGGTAGGGGGAAGGCCAGGAAGTGAGCAAAGAGGTTTGGAACAACTAAGGGAGATGAACTTGTCTGTCAGTTTGTTGTACTGTG